TTTCATATACATTTTCTTTTAGTTTTCTAAAACTTCATTTCAGAACAAGACAAAAAAAAAGAACAAAAATTTTTTCATAAAATTTTTGCAGAGAACTTAATAATGCATCTTGTCATTTATTTTCGAAATTAATCTATTCATCTATCGAAATCATTTACAAAATCATGTTGAATAACTTTTTAATTAAAATTTATCTTGTTTTTTATTGTCATAATTGTGGGAAAAATTCCTGAAAATGGCACTTATTATTTTGTACAATAACAACAACAACAACAACAACAACAAATAAAATCATCTGAACGACAGCTAGAAATAAGCAAAAAAAAAATAATAATAATAATAATAAGCTACTGATGAAGATTAATCATACATATAATGACTAGATTTGGGAAACAAAAAAAAGAAAAAGAAAAAGAAAAGAAAACAAAATGTTTAGTTATACATTTGGTATGAGAAAACTTGGTCCTCTTTCAAAATTAATTAATGTTGATCCATTAGTTTCGTCTTGTTGTTGAACATCCGAATCAGAAAATATCGAACCTTCACTACTCGAACGATTCTGTTTATGAATCGATTTTTCATGTTTATATTTATCAATTGATGAAGAAGAAATATTTTCATGATTATTATCATCCATTGAACTTGTCCATGATGTTGTCATCGTTTCTGATATAGAAAAAAACAAAGATAAAAACAATTTGTTTTAGAAGTCAAAATATTGAATACTAACCTTCACCTAATGAATTAATCATTGTTGGATTCGAAGATTGAACTTGTGGAACATAATTTGATTGATGTTTTACTCTTTAAAGATAGATAATAATTAATATTTCAATACGATCTTTGACGAATTAAAATAGAATTGATTTAAGTTTGAAATACTACGAAACTAATTCAGACTTATATCGGACAATAAAAATTTTTGTTTTTTCGCTCAGCTTTTCTAAAAAATCATCAATTGAGTGCAACTATTCTTTTACGATGTTTAGACATGTTTATGAATAAGTACAAAATTTTAAGAAACTTTTATAAAGTATTAGATTGTTCACTGATTAATAGAGAACGTGAGGTGAATTTAAAAAGTCGTAAGACAAGCTAGCTTATGTAACTTCACATTGTACTGATGGTTTTTCGGAGAGTTATGTGGAAAAATTTTTTAGTGTACTATACATTTACTAATAATTTAACAGCAGCCTATTGACTTGCAACCAAAGAGTATCTACGAAATTTTTATGAATGAAATATCGTATTGATTTCTTATTATTAATTGTAATACTAATGAAAAAATTAACTTACAATGGTGAACTGTTCATTGTTGTTTGTTGTAAATTTTTATCCATGATTGTCTTATTTATTATTTCATTCATATTTACATTTGAAGTTTTTATAAGAAGATTATTGTTTTGATGATGAGATACAGATGATTGTATTGTTGGACGTATTGATGATGGTGTTTGAGGATGAGATTGAGATGTACAATGTATACAATGATATTGATTAAATGATGTACGAGATTGAGAATGATATTGTAATGTTGACGATGGATGATGATCAAGCCATGGTGGTTGATATTGTACTGTAGGTGATACTAATGATGTTATCTGTTGTTGTTGTTGTTGATCGGATATCAGATGATGTGATGATGGCTGTGAATGAACTGTTTCTGACTGTTTAAAAAGTAAAGCAATTTATATAATTAGTATTTGAAATAAAACAGTTTCATTACAAACTAAGAATAAATTTACTTATAATGAGTATAAATTTTAAGTCGAGATTTTTTCAGCTCGCCTTATCTATCTCATAGTAAGGAAGAACGGGAAGAAGAAAAGCCAATGGTCATTGAGTAAGTTTCCAATAACAACTCAGAATAACACACTTACGATGGGGGAATTCTCCAGTTGTTGCTTTTGAGTCGAGACTCTGTGCATTATATTGATCTAAATGAGCTATGAATACTTTGAAAAGAGTTTGTGCTCTTAGCTTATTACTGCGGAGATACTGCACTTTTACGATATTTGATAAACGAATGATGGTGGTTCCTCTGAGGAACATCAGAAAAATTAATTTTCGAATTTCGACTTGAAGCTTTACATAGAGACAGATCTTAACAAGAGTTGTTTATTGTGAAAGTTTCAGATCTTTTGATTTGCTGCTATCTTGAAATAATAACATCAAGTCTACTGGTTTATATGAATGATGAAAAAGACACACTATTATCATAGTTATATTTTAGGATTTAATCTGTATGGTCGGTGCCATAAGGACTCATGTAATTGATATTCTAATATTTTGAATATTAATTATATAAATTTAACTTACATAATTTGGTGAAGCCGATGATGTTGATTGTTGAAATATACCTGTTGTTGCATATGGATTAAGTTGTTGTTGTTGTTGTTGTCGACATTCATGTAGAAGTCCATTAATTGGATTTTTATGTATATTCATTGAATAATGTTCACTATTACTACTAGCTGATGCTGTTGTTGTTGTTGTACAACATTGAAGACGAATACCATTTGGTATTGAATTCATCCATAAAGCTGTTGATGAAGATGGTAATGGTGTTGAAATATCTTTTATTAAATCATAACGTTTTCCATTACTTAAGGTTTTATGAACAGGTAATTCAACAGATTGATTTGATGATGAAGATGAACTATTAAATTTAATACGATGTCGACGTTGTTGTGTTATATAATGAAAACATAACCATAGAATATAAACACAAGCACATGTAAAAATAATACTTGATAAAATAATTACTGGTAAAAACCTATTTATTTTTGAAAGGATAGCAAGATTAGATAAAAGTAAGAAAAAACAAAGATATAACAAACTAACCAAGGTTGAGATATAACTTCACGTAAACGATATTTTAATTGATTTTGATTTAGTTGTAAAAATTTAGCATCTAAAAAAAATGAAAATATTTTTGATATTAAATAATAAGTCTTTTTTTTTTTTTAGTTTTCTTACTCGTTATTACACATATTGGTTGTGAATATGGACCATAACCAATACGTGTACGTGCTGCAATACTTATACAATATTCCATATTTTCAATAAGATTTTTAATATATAATCCTTTTGCATCTGAACTTATATTTGTTAAACGTATTGAATTTGTTTCATTTGTACCTAAACAATTAACTTTATAAGCAATAATTTGACCATTTGTTTCATTTTCTAATGGTGGATTCCATCGAATAGAAAGTGTTGTTGTTGATATTAATTGAACAATAACATTAATTGGTGATGATAATGGAATACTTTCTGATGTTCGAAAAGATATTTTATTACTTGAATGACCTATAATATCAAACATGGGTACTAAATAAATTGAATAATCTGTATTCGATCGTAGATTATTTATTGTATATGTTGTTATAGAATTTGTTATTGCTTCAATACGTTCATTTTTTTCTTTTTTATTAATTATATAAATTAAAATTTGATCAATTAAAGAATTTTTTTGTAAAATATTCCATTTAATTGTTACACTCGTTTCTTGAATATTAATTGGATCATATAAATAAATAAATTCATTATTTGATTGTTGATTAATTTTTGTTTCAATTAATTCAGATAATATAGATGGTGGACCATAACCATATGAATTTCTTGCACGTATCATAAATTGATATATAGTATCAGATTTTAAATTATTTATAATTTGTCGAGAATTTTTAGTTTTTGTTAAAATTCGTTTCCATTCAAGATTATTTTCATCTGAATTAATATCATAATATTCTATAAGATAATCAAGAATATCTGTAGTTTGTATATTCCAAACTAATTCTATTGAATTGCTATTTATATCAATAGCTATTGGTTGTGATGGTGCTTGTGGAAGATCTTTACGTTCAACAGAATGAAATATTACATTTGAACGAGTATCTTCAACATGTAAATGACCAATCCATGTTGTTTCATCATAATTATTATTCGTTGCTACACATTTGTATAAACCAGCATCATTTCTAAACAATCATTTAAGCACAATTAATGAATAACAATTGGGACAGAAAAGAAAAACGAGTAAAGTTTCTTGTCTATATGTCACTATTTAGCATTCATAATCACAATTGATAGTGGAATATCTGTAAAAAAATGCGGGCGCACACGGACACTTCGCGGGTATCCATGGATACCTATGAACATCCATGGGCATCCATGAAAACTCATAGTTACCTTGATATTTGTAAAACATCTTGTATAATTAAAAACCAAAGTAACCATAGATGTCTGTGTCCACAAAAAAGGGCTAAATCCCACTTGAAAATAAAAAACATAGCCTAGGATGGGTGTCCATATGACACTCATTTTGAACTCTATCTTTTTTGCAGCTTTGATAACATCCGTGGATTTTTACAGGTACTCTCCATCGTCATGTACGATGATTTTTCATCGACATTTATTCATTAGAAAATTCGTATAGTCTAAAAAGATTCCGTATTATAGGATATTCAGAAAAAGATTTTCTGAAACGATCTCAGAAGTCTTTCCGGCATAAAAACGTCCGGAAATCTTCTTTTTTGACTTTTACACAATACTAAGTGTGATATGTATGCAGCGTGGCATTGTCTTATTCATAGATAAAATTATCGTCCAGGAACCGTTTATCCTCATGTTGCACATGTGGCAGAATAATTTCGATATAATTTTTATGTGATAATGTTTTATAAAGTTTAAATACAATTGTAGACGTAAGAACATTTTTAGATGCATCAAACTAGTGGATACTTAACTGTTTGGTTTATGTTGACTTGCAACATAAACAGATTCCAAAAAAAAACGATTATGTTTGCATGGTCAAAATCAATCGCACAGAAATTCACTCATTTTGAAAATAGCGAATCCACATAAAAAAAAA